GAGCCTAACGCCATAACCGCCCTTACAGAACGGCCTCACTCCCCTCCATGTGGCGGCCCATTACGACAACCAGAAGGTAGCGCTGCTGCTGCTGGAGAAGGGCGCCTCACCTCACGCGACCGCCAAGGTGAGCTCCCGCCGCCCGCCTGAGGAACCCTCGCCAACAGGGCGGCCCGGCCCGGCCCCTCCGCCTTTCCCACACGGGATGTAAAGAAACAAAATAATCTCTAGGGTGTGGGAGGTCAGGCACTGGAACGGGCTGTCCGGGGGGTTGTGGGGGGGTGTGGTGATCGTAATAGCGCTAGTTGAGTCGCTGAGCTGTGTGAGGTTCGTGTAGCGGGAAGTTGGCTCTGGATGGATGGTCCCTAACCTGAGTTAGCGTACAGCTCTCTCAGACCTTCCTTGAAGAAGAAGAAATATGTGTATGTATATACGTATGCGTGTGTGTCAGCCTGGTTTTATGTTTGTGAGTTTTACTCATAGCTGGAAGTCACTTTAGTATTGTGTGGTATTAGAAATGGCACGTACATTCTGACCACGCATACGGAAACTTCGTTCCGGGGTTAAGAACAGTGCTGTGATATCCCTGTCTTAGGCCAAGGCTGCTAAAAGGGGCAAATAACGAGCGAATGGGTGCTGATGTCAGACGTGTGATTGATACAGTGGTTGTTTCGGAGCTGTTGTTTCCATTGCGGTGCATGGAGAGCAGCAAAAGCTCCAGTTGCAGTAGGATAGTTTGGGAAAGCTCCCTTTTAAAAAAACCAAACACCACAGACCAACCAACTGAACACCTCCAGAGGGACTGGCTGCTGTAATCCAGAATTTTCCCCCTACAGTGCGTTGTAAAGCAATTAAAGGTGGGAAATCTGTCTTATTGCCAGAAAGTACCATTAATACTACTCTACTTTGCTGAAATGGTTAATTTGATCAGAAAAACGTTCCTCCCTATTGCGGTTTCCAACCAGCGCCATGACTGACACATGTATCAAAATTCCATATGCAAACACACCTCTACCCACGCGCTCCGAGAAAGCGTAGTGCAATGAAGAGCGTGCACTCATCGCTCATCACGGCGAATGTCACTCATCAGTCAAAAGTGAATATTTACAACATAGGGTATTCAAAATGTAGGTGTCAAACTCAGGATAATTTGAAGGTACCGGCTGACCAGTCCTGCCCACCCTAGGGAGGGCTGGCTTTGTTCTAGTTTAGATGGTGAAATAACAGACGGACAAAGCAACACAACAGCAGGGCCATGTGGGACATGTCTGGCCTAGAAAATTTAATGAACTAGTAATATGGGGTACCATAAAATAATACCGGTTTATGCTGTTTGACTTCTTAAGCTTACGTGACTGTTAACTTTATTCTCATTTTGTTTCCCGACTGGTGTTAGAATGGATACACCCCTCTGCATATTGCTGCCAAGAAAAATCAGATGCAGATAGCTACCACGCTGTTGAACTATGGGGCTGAGACCAACATTCTGACCAAGCAGGGAGTCACCCCGCTTCACTTGGCCTCCCAAGAAGGTCACGCTGACATGGTAACCTTGCTTTTGGAGAAAGGAGCCAATATCCACGTGGCCACAAAGGTAACTCACAGCCGGAGACCAAGTACTGTTGGGTGGGAGTATCCAGTAAGATGCAGAGCGCAGTGTAGGAATGATGTCATGTTGTCAGGAATTCTCAGCTTCGCTTCCTTATATACATATTTGCGAGTCTGCAGAAGTGACAACAGGTGGGTGAACAGTAAAAGTGAGAAGAGGATATCTAGGACTGGCAGATGGATTGCCCAGTTAACTTATATCATGTAACTGAGAGCTGTACTGGGTTACGCACAGGAGGAGCTGCAGCTGTTTGCAGTGAGTGGAGGAAAGCGAGGTAACACCTGGCTCTGGCAGAGAGGTTGCAGGAGGAAAGGCAGCCCCAGAGAAAATTGTTTCTGAGCATTCAGGAAGGCAGGACGGCAGTATTTTTGTTGTGCTGCCACCTCGCCATCTTTCAGGTGTTTTGCACGTACTCCTGAAGTTTTACATTAGATGCAAAGGAAGAGGAATGTAAAATTCTGGAGTTTGTGGGTCCATGGGTAGATTTAACAACATGTATTGGAAACCTGAGAGCTACACTCTAAAATAGTTAGTGCTCTTGCCAGCAAAGGCACTTTTCCTCCTACGTTTATCCTTCTGCCTTCTTTCCAAGTGGAAGAAATTGGCAGTGTCTGGCAAACAACAAAACAGTATTCGTAGCGGAGTAGCGAGTGAGAAAAATCCTATGCAGGACCTTTCCAATTTTTTTTTTAAAAAGTTTTTTTCTGATTGTATGTGACAGCTTTTTCATAGAAAACAAGTTCCTCAAAAAAACCCCATTTCTGTAGATCTTCGTAGGTCACCAGATTTATCCAGACATATATGTAAGTATTATTTACTTAAGGTCAGAAGCCCGCAGCTTTTGTTCATACAAGTCAAAATCGAAGGCTCGGGTCTCTCATTGTCTGGCATTAATGAATTACGCTACCTAACCAAGGAGAAACAGAGCGATTTTCATTTCCCTTACAAAATTAGTTCCGTGCCTTGTTCACAGGCAGGTGCTGTGTGAGTGAACACAGTGAGCTTTTAGTTAAAGGCTGCATCCATTTCCTTGGCATCTTTGAATGGAATCTATTTCTGGAGTTGTTTTCTTCATCCTGACTCGTTCCTGCAGTTGTCAAGGTTCCCTTTCCTGTCTGAGGAGTGGGAAGCGCAGTGAATGTGCTTCCCTAATTTATTAATGGGCTCCTCAGCTTCCCAACTGACATTATTGTAGAAAATCCTGATCATTGATGCCTGAAAGTTTTACTCTGTGGTTATGGTGATGTAATTGCTTTGGAGCTGTTTGTCAGCCGGAACAGAAGAAACATCAGCTCTGCTTTGTTTAAAAAAACCACCCATACTTAGAAGCTATAATTAGGATCTCTTCATGTTTTAAAAATGAGAAAGAGGGAAAGTCTAGATTTCTTTTCTCGTGTAAAGTAGGTTTTATTCTTATTTTTATTTTTATTTATTTTGCCTATTCCACCTCCAGACTGGCCTGACATCCTTACACCTTGCAGCTCAAGAGGATAAAGTGAATGTAGCTGAAATACTCACAAAACACGGTGCGAACCAGGACGCTCAGACAAAGGTAACTCATGGAGTGGCTACCGTCTCCTGGGTGCCAGAGGATGCTGCCGTTGTAAAAGGAATGTTCCACTGAGCCTGCAGTTTTACTTCTTTGTTCTCTTATTGTAGCTCGGTTATACACCTTTAATTGTGGCGTGTCACTATGGAAACATCAAAATGGTGAATTTTCTTCTCAAGCAGGGAGCAAATGTCAATGCTAAAACAAAGGTAAAGAATTTTTCATTGCTTGCTTTTGCTCTTTATTAGGAACCTGGTAACCAAGCACCACGAATACATACTATAGGTGCCTTTTCACTAGTAAACTATAATTATTGCATGGTAGGTGTCGACGTATGGTGCTCCATGGCTGTAGTGGAATGCTTTCTCTGTGCTACATCTCATTGTGTAGTGTTCACAAAAGAAAAGTCAGGTAGCTCTTCGGGCATATGAAAGAAGGAGGTAGAGAATCTATTTCATTGTGTGTGTTCTTTTTTTTCTTTTGGCTTGCAAACTAACAAATGCGAGCTTGTTTCAGGTCCCATTTACACATGGTTTACACCAGTGTAATACCAGTGTGCTGCCAAACTAGTAAGTAACAATTCAGACACGGCGAGGGTGGTTCCAGGTTCTTTCCAATGTGCTGGGAGGAGAGTGGGAAAAATTCCTGCAGATCAAAGCGTGGGAGGTATGGCTGTGGGAGAGGAAGCGGCTGGGGCGGGGGAATGCAGTTGACTGAAGACAGATTTGGGGTTTTTTGGAGGGGAATCTGGGTACGCTGTTATACTGAACTGGACCTCACTGCCTATAGCCAAAGTCTGAACAAAATCCTCGGACTTCAGCAGTTTCTTCAGATATCAGCTGGTGGGCACAACAGCTGAACGAGATGCATTTTGTAGCAAGAGTTGTGTATCTCCTGTGTACACACAGAGAGGTTTTTGGTGACAGCAGCCATGCGTTGCATCCTGGATACCATCACATCACCCTTATCAGAAAGAGAAGGGTAACTGCAGGGCTTCGGCTGAATTAAAGGTGCCTTCAGGCAATAGCTCCTAGCTTCAGATTAGATGTCTTGGGATCAACGTGAAGAAGTCCACCGATATTTCTAGTGACATACTTGGTATTTGTAAGACCCAGTAAAAATCACAGGCTTGTAGTCCCCTGGTCCCTCTGGCCAGCTCCTCTGTCCCCAGCCGTGACCTATGGGGTGGATTCCTTTCTCCAAGTAGCACTATTTCATCACACTGGTCGCAGCTCAATGCGGTGGGAAACAGCACAGTAAATAAACAAAAGATGCTGGCCCATCCCTTGCGAGATCACCCCAAATCAATGGGCATAAACCCAGGGATTCCAAAACAACAGGCAACACCACTAGAAAAAACAGCTGATAAGAATTAACAAAGCAGACACTAGCATGATCCAAATGATAGCTGCCAAGATATTCAGCTGAGGTATTTGGAGGCTAACTAAATGGACAGACGTACTTCTGATGCCATTTCCCCAGGTATTTCACTTACTTAGAATAATTTCATTAAAGTCGGCAAGTTTGTATGAGAGTATGGGGCAGTGGTTGTTCAAAATCTCACACCTGGGGACCAGTAAAAATACTGGCAATCTGTCAACTGTTACTGTGGACTCAGTTTAAAGAACAAATCTGTCCTGGCTGGATTTAGGATAGGCATGTTAAAGAATAAGTAACCTCTGTTGCAGCTAGGTCTTTAACTAGAGAAAGCCTGCCTGATGCTTTGGACCATCTCCAGAGAAAAATAATATGGCTGAATTCTGGTTTTGGAGGACTGCACTAATATTTTAAGCAAAGATAGCAAATTTACTTTGCACTACCATCTAGAGTAAAATCCTCCTTCGATTTCTTTGTAGTCCACGCACACATACTGTAAATGTAAGAACTGCAGCAGTTCTGAGCTACCGCTATTTAATTAGTGGTACAAAGCATTACTTGCATCTATTCGTTTGCAAAAGAGATAACTCTGAGCGTGTCTTTCAGAGCCTGGCCCCAGGCTTTACATAAGTGTACAGTGAGATCAGCTCGGTGTTTTCTTCCAGTTTATTCTCTGCTTGCTTTCAAAGCCAGTTGCAAATAATTTTGTAAATGAATTGCCTGACTGGCCTTACACAATACCATCGCAGATCAACTAGCTGAAGTTCACTTTGGTTATGTTTCTGTATTGTGTAACATTAGAACGATTCACTGGAGCAGAGAAGTATATGGAGTTAAGAGTGTTTATTAAGACAGACGTTGTGTACGTGGTTTTAAGTGTAATTTCAGCTTGGTCAAGCCTTTTGAAGGCAAAGTAAAGCTAAAATTGATTGACATTTATAATAGGTATATGTTGTTAGCCTTTTTAAAAGCAAATAGTCTCAAGTCACTGCTGTTAAAAAATTATATTATATTTTTTAAATTGGCTCAAATATTTTAAAGGCAAATCTTGGCGCTTCTGTAGAAAACTAAGATGTGAGAGGAAGAAAAATGTTCTCTGCCTCAGCTATGATTTTTATGTTCTTAGCATGTCACTTTAACTTTACTGTTCCTCATTCTTCCTCCTTCTGATTTAAGAAATGAGGAATTATCTATCTTTCCAGAGATTGCTTAGATTGGGAGGTGAAAGATAATTTGTGAATAAAAATATTCTCTTCCTTGATCTTTTCATTAATCTGGGGAAGGAGTATTATTATTACTGAAGAATTATTATCTTTGGGTCAATTGATGGCGTAATTGCTTTTTGAAACATCTCAAAAGGAGCAGAAGGAAGCAAAGCAAAGTGTCTAATCTAATTACGCGTGGTTGTTGTTCTTTGTTTGCTTTTATCGTAACCACCGTGGACGACAGAATGGGTACACCCCTCTTCACCAAGCTGCTCAGCAAGGCCACACTCACATCATTAACGTCCTTCTCCAACATGGGGCCAAGCCCAACGCCATCACCACTGTAAGTCTGAAGTTCCAGTGGGAACTTGTTTCCCTGGACAGTTCTTTTCTTTCCTTGCTTAGGGCTTGAGAGCAAGCCTTTGTTTTGGTGAAAGTATTCCTCGTGCAGCTGGTTGTCAGATGTGTCGATGTAACTTCCTTTCCTTTGCCTTATCCTCTTAAGGTAGCTCAGATCAGATCTAACTCGCTGCGCACCAAGCGAAACGCGAGGTGGGGAAACGGGTTTCTGAGCTGGCCGCAGCTAGCTGTGCTGTGCTTGTTCAGTTGCCCTCTGCCTCAACGCTTCTGCCTGTAAATTGATAGCTCGATAAGGATTTTTCCGTAAACGTTAAGGGGAAATCAGAACCTGGGCTTTTTTGAAGATTTAGACCCAGATTTCTGTCCCTCTGTGCGCTGGATCTGTTCCAGGTTCTTACTGAGTTCACTGATGTTAATGCCTCCTCAAAGACCGCCAATAACCTCTGGCACAGCTCCTCCTCCGCAGTCAGCCAGGAATGCGACTGTCCTGTTTCATGTTGATGTTGTTATTAGTCCCTTTTAATTGGGTAACCTTTAAAATGCAGCCAGAATGTCCAAAACTCGTCTCATTCCCCAGAGCGGATCGAGTTTCTGTGTGCATGTATTGCACGGGCTTAAATCAGCACTGGCACGCTGTTTGGTCCTGGAAAGAGCCCATTGAATAATCTTCTGTGAAGTTATCCAAAATACCAGTTTATGCCCCAGATCATCGAGCAAGAGACCGTTTTAGCCATCCTCTGGGGCTGAAGATACTATTGGGCATATTCAACCAAAGGTCTCTTTACTTGCTTTCAGTCCTCATGTTGGGGCTATCATGCCCAAATCCAAGCAGGGTCTCAAGGATGTGTCTTTACTGCACGGTTTGCCTGCTTTCTTAGGTAGGAAATCTGTTCTTGTCCAACCTCTAGCTTGAGATAAGAGAGAATTTCAACCCGAGACATCTGGCAGGGGGATAGGGGAGTTGGGACATGAGCACTTAATGTGCAAGTGACAGTAACGGTCAAATTATTTGTGCTCTGAAGATGCTCATTTATTCATTTTGTGCTGCTAACCCACAAACGGTGTGTTGCTTTGGGGTTGCTGAGCTAGACAGATACAGAGGAACTTCAATTAGAGATAACTAAAGGCAATACTGAAGTAGAGAGAAGCCCTCAGGCTGATATCCTGCGCACAGCGCGCTGGCGTCACAGGGGAAATGGTTTCAGTGCAAAGAGCGGTACAGTGGCTTTCCAGGAGTCCCCTGGTAGGCCAGCGTGTTGTCCTTTGGTTCAGCGCAAAATACCATAAAAGAATTCTGTGTAGAGCTCTTTACAAAGAATCATGGCACACATCCCTTCCTCCCCTCCCCAAGTTGAGTGACACGGGGAACGTAGACTGCTGGTGTTCCAGGTGATGAACTGGAGGTAAATAGACCTAAACACTTACTAAATTATCATTTTAATGTCCATTTGATGAATGGCACATCTATATATCATGGCCATTTAAACCGCAAATAAATTTATTTATATGGAAATTAATTCCCCCCCCCCAAGCCTTACATAGGTTGGGTTTGTGTTTGTTAAATTATTAGCTTTTGTGTACTTTTATCGGACATACGTTTTTGTTGTAAGGAGGAATAGAAGCGTATGTGGACAATGCAGCTGTAATCTCGTATTCCCCAAAGACGGAATTGTCCCTGATGAAGATTGAATGGTTTCTACTGGAAGTGAAACCGTAATATTTTAAAATACGTTTTTTAGAAGAGTATTTCTGATGTAGAGCCATTTATGCAGGCATAGACATTCTGTATAGTGAAATTTGAGCCCTGAAGGGTTAAACCATACAGCACTTTTGTATTTAGCGTAGCAGGCAGATGTAAGTGTGTTGTGTTACCATGGCAATCGGGGCTATAGTCTTAAAGAAGTTACAAAGACGGAGTCAGATGTAACGGTACAAACCCAGTGATTTTCCTAGGCTGCGCCTTGTTTTGGATGGAAATGCTGGCTCATGCAAGTGTTGAGAGTGATCTCATTGGTTCACATCACAGTCCTCCCTCTCACTGCGCTCGCTCTCTCCCCTTCTCTCTTTTCTCTTCAGAATGGGAACACTGCCTTAGCTATTGCAAGGCGCCTGGGATATATCTCAGTGGTCGATACGCTGAAGGTTGTAACGGAGGAGATTACTACCACCACAACTGTGAGTTGCAGATGTATTAAAATGTCTCTCTCTGTTCAGAATGTTGTCTTTCTCTTCTTCCCTCAGACTCTCCATGTATCTCTTCCCTTTTTTTTATTTTTTTTTTTTATTTTCTGGTTTTAGCCCCCCCCTCCCCCTTCCGTTGGATTTTTGCAACAGTGCTACAATGCTTTCGGTATGTCTTTTAAGCGTGCGGAAACGTGTGCAACAACAAACGTGTGCAACTTCACTGAGCTAGGTAACAAAATCTATGTGCATACAGATGGAAAGCAACTATTCAAAAGCAGAGGAAAACTTTTTTCTAGATAAGGGTCTGAGCTGCAAACCCAAACTTTCCAGAAGTTTGTGCATTGTTGTTTCGGTCCTGCCCTGTTTCTCACTTTTCAGCTCTCCTTTTCACTCTGTCCTCACATTGCCACACTTGTGACCCTTGGGGAGGCTCACCCATTGCAGCACACCACAGCAAGCGTCTTGGCGTTTGGACCGTACCGGCCGTGGACCGGTGCCAAGCTTAATGATGCTCACTAGATGGCTCTGAATCACATCAGTCGCTTTTTTTACTCAAATCACTTCCAGTTCAAATAGATCCTGGTTTTTTTTTTTTTACAAAATACAGAAGAATCTTTCCTTATGTGCTCAGTCCTCCATGCTCTTGGTGGTCTGTATTTTGACTTCAGGGTTTAACATCAGCAAGGTGGTACTGTTGCTTTAAGCCAGGAAAACCTGATTTATTCTGATGCTCTGGGAGGGGAAGGTTTTCTCTCCTTGGGAACTTTTACCTCCCATCTATCAATGTTTTAGCAGGTAGGAAGGGAGAACATTAGAAATACTGCATCATTTAAGAAATTAATTTTAATTTAAATTTCCGTTACTGCATTTTATCTTGAAACACTGTTGTAAGGTCAGGCACTTTTTTGGGTTTGTTTTTTGGGGTGGTTTTTTTTTTAATGCAAGAAAGATGAGCAGTCTAGAAAACGTATCAGATCTAGATGTTATTTAGGAGCTCAGAGCTGTAAAAATCCACAGATTACTTAAAAGATGTGACTACTCAGTCAGGAAGAGAGTTAGAGGAAGGGAAGAAATCCAAAGTCTCTTGTAAGGATATGGGAAAATAATTTTGATTTTGTCACGTGCTGACAGCAAGTCCTGCTGATACTAACCGAGGGAGACGGAACAAAATTAACCTGGCATAAGGTTACAAATAGAGTGAGCCATAATTTATTAATGGCCTGCAAAGATCAGACACAGGTTTGGACAAGGAATTCCAGCGTAATTCCGGAAGTCTCTTAATAAAGACTGTATGTTTTTGTAGTTATTTAATTTGTGCTCTTGTTTAATCATACAGCACATCACGCATGTACGTGCGTAAACACACACGTATCTATTCTCAGAGATTTAGAAAAATAAAACCTAGGTAAAATTTTTTGAGCAACTTTAGCTCTTTTCAAAAGTATATTTTTTTTAGCCTCAAATGACACCTTTGCTGTGTCCTGGCACACTTCTTCCATTTACGTCTGATATAAGTTGTAACTTCCTTTCTGTCGTGCATTGTGCTGCACTGTGGAGCCTTGTACCTCATCAGATGCAAGTATTAGATGCTTTGTAATAATAGGGATTACACTGTGAAGAGACACCTGTGAGTTATTTACTTTGGATAAATGTTTCTTTAAACTCTGAGGGTAATGGATTTTTCTACCAGATACCAGATGCTTGGGGTTTAGGACTGAATCAAATACCGAACCTCACTTGCGCAGTTGACCTCTACAGCTTGAACTTAAGAGAAATGTGAAATCTCAAACAAAAAAAGCACTGCTTTTAAAAGTCAGGTGGGAACCCTGGATAAACGCAGCAGATTTTTCAGCTATGACTTTGTCTGCATCTTGTACCTTAGGGATATATAGAATATAAACCCCTGGTGGTGGTGTTCATGGTGGGGAATGCTGATTAAACACAGTTGAGAACAAGTCCTAAGGAGGAGGGATAAATAACAGGCACTCCCTGCAATAAAGTTCTCCAGATGGTGAGGCTGGAGTTGCCAAACCAGAGCACAGCATTTAGGACTGAAAACAAGGTGCTGTCACCATAGCTACTTCATCCTCTAAGGTTGTAGCTGAGCGATGCGGGGAGGATGTTAGACAGGCTGATGCTTTATTGATATTCAAGTCACTGCCATCTGAGATGAGGAAAAGACCTCCAGTGCCAAAGCCTTTGGTCTACCTTTGAACAAATTTTCCTCTTACTTGCATTAGTGTTATTGTTAGTGGAGCCACGTGAACATAAAGTAATAAAGTGCACTTATTTTTACTCACAGGTGAGAGATGAATAGGAAATAAATCAGAATAAGGTAGACTTTCAAAGGTTTGCTATGCGGTTAGGTTTTGGGGTAGTTATACAAACAGGCGTAGTCGTCCTGTGGGCAAATGAATGTATGAGGAGCTTTGAGGTTGTTTACAGTATACGGCTGTTGAGTAAGGAATCGCTGAATGTACGTATAGGTTTCTATACCTGAATTATTCTATGCCACCAGATGAAAATCTGGCCTTACAGTGAAAGTTTGAAATGCAGAAGCCTCAAGTGAAGTACATAACGGAATTCTCGGTGGTGCTAAACAGCAGGGAGTTAAAAAAATATACATTGAGCGGTTTTCAAAGTGGGCCCTTCATGGGGCTAGATATGAATTTTAAATGTTGAGAATTGACATTTCTGATGTGCCTATCAAATAAAAAAAAAAATCTAGTATAGTATTAAAAGTTCATTTAAAACCATTAATTCACAACATCTCTTGGGAATTGATGTAGAATTAGTTATTCTTACTGAGTTCAGTGTTCCAGAGATAGCGTTACAGACTTTTTTGTTCTTCTGAAACACGTGCGTGTGCGTGCGCACACACACGCTCACTTGATTCTGTTTTCCAAACTTTGTTTCAATTGTTAAATTTATGTAATAATTATCTCTGACTGAAGGGAAAAACAAGAAGTAAATAAAGTATCCTTACTTCTCTGTAAATAAATAATAAAGTCTAAGACCCTTAGAGACCAGATTGTTATTATATAGGGGGCTGTAAAAACCGAATTTAGGATAAATTGATAATCATGATAAATAAACCTTAGTTACTAGGGTCTGCAGATCCAAGTTCATGCAAGGGCAGGATACAATGTACCTCTATGCCTGTAGCTTGCGGACTAGAATACTGTAGCATCCTTTCACTTCTGCGTTCTTCTCAGCAAAGGGATTTTGTACATAAGCCAAGGTTGGGAACCAAGTTTTCTTAAATAAATTCCAGTCATACAGAAGACGTACAAAACCCAGCATTTGTGACTCCTAGGCAGACCCCTTTTTTCCCCTTTCTTCAGAAATTGGTCACTTCCTCCTGTCTTTGTTTTGGGTTTTTTTTTTCCCTTGACTTCAGTTATTTTACATGGGGAACATACCAACTGGCAGTAGAAAATTTGCAGTGCGCTTTGTGAAGATACAATTGCAATGGCGATTACAATTACGATGCCGGTAAATTGGTACTTGCATATAGTCCTCTCCACATCACTTGAAAAATATACAGCCCTCTTCACCTGGGTTTATTTCTTTAGCCCCAATATCAGTGATTTTTAAATTTTTTTAAAAAATTTATAATGCATTTGTTAACTTACTGCTGTGTTGTTGAAGGGACGAGGTCAACGTCACCTGAACGACAGCATCCTCCCCATCTGTTGTCGCTGGCTTTGTCACCCTACTGCTGCCTGACGTTTCTATCTGAGGAAAGCCGTGGGAATGCAGGGGCGACAAGGCAGACACGTTGGTGGAGGCATTCGGTGAATGTAAACTAAGTTTCGACGCAGAACCTGTGTTATGAAAAACACTGCAACAGAAATAATTAATTGTCTTGAATCATGGGTGAGAGTGAATTTAAGAGGCCTGATTGGGATTGCCATTTGAAGCAAAGGACATTGTTCGTTCCCTGCTCCTCAGAAGGGTGGATTGAAAACTGCTGGCACGGCTAAATATATTTCAAAAATGTAAACCAGACTTTTAAAACAAATTTCCAAAGTAACTACACTGTTGGTAACTTATAATAGTCAAGGATGCTATCTTTGTGGGTTCGTTAGGGAAGTATAGAACAGAATCAGGAAATACCTACTAGGTTTTGTGCAGCGAAGCCTGCTGGGGACTTCGCTGCTTGATAGCGATGGGCATTTTCCCAAAAGCATATTGCGTAAGGGGCTCGGGATGTGGCTCACATTAATTATCCCTCAGATTGTATGCTCTTTGACTACTTCTGTGTGTAATGTTAATTTATGCTTGATAGATACCATCCCCCGTAGGGAGGGACGTACTACCTCAGGGGCAGTTTCACAAGACACGTTCCTCCCCGTGCCAAAGGGGCACATCTGCTCTTACGTACCTTCGAGGGCGAGGTGTTGAGCTCCCCGGTTCAGCTTACTGGCCGCGGATCTGGGTGGAGCCAGGGAAATAGTTCTTCTTCTGCTGTGACTAATGCTGTTCTGATCACTGCTCTATTTTAAGTCCTTGGCATTTTGTCTCCTGCATCGTAACGCGCTGAAGAGTTTCCTGCAGGCAACTTTTTCACACCTTGCCCTTCCTATGATTTCTCTCATAATGTTCTTCATCTCCTTCTCCAGTCTGTATCTTGACGCTAAAAGGATGTCCCTGTTCTTGATTCAGCACGCCTGAACATGTTATGTTTCCTTCTGGAAGTCATTTATGAAGATAAAATCATATAAAAAAAAAGATCTTCCAGTTTTCTACTCTGTGCTCTCACGCTCGTGTCCTCCCAGCAGTCCTCCATCCATACTTGCCTTGTATCACAATATTTTAAGCTTTTAGGTGCACAAAATATATCAGAATCTTCAAATAACTCTTTTCCCCTGGTGTATACATGATTTGGGGGGAATATACATGATTTATGAAGATATCATTAATATGCAGTGTAGTCACTTTTGGGGTGGGGGGGGAAGAAATGTTTCAAGTGATCTGTGTAAATCCTTCACATCTTTTTCTAGTTTGAAAATTTCACATCATTCATAACTTCATTTCCAAATGCTTTACGATTTAATAATTTCCATATGCCACATAAACTTTCTGAAGCTCTTCTGTAGACATTACCTAATTCATTTTAAAATCATCTTGGAAACATTGAGCTGAATTGTTCTACATGCACCATTTATAAATGAATTTGCTTGAAAGCTTTCTTTTCTTTTATTCCTCTGACCCTTTTTTGTACTTCTCTGCCAGAATAAATGTTACCTTATTATACAGCACTGAGAATAGGAGCTTCTGGAGTAAAGATGAAAAATAAAGTTAGGGGAAGGGGAAACACGTTGTAAGATGTTTCAGCAGATCCCGTTGCTGTTGAAAATAGCCTGCTGGAGACGTTGCTGCTTCTTTCGGTGTTTAATTTGAGGATTGATGGTTCTCTCTTTGCAGACTGTAACAGAGAAGCACAAGCTAAATGTACCTGAGACAATGACTGAGGTCCTGGATGTTTCAGATGAAGAAGGTGAGCAACTTGGCAAAGTTCCTGTTCCATATCACGTGGGTAACCTGTAATACAGGCTCAAGACAGCTGCCTAAGTACTTTGACATCTTCATTTTGCAGTGCTTGAAAGGAAGTTCTGTGTAATGGCCTTTTTTCAATGATGTAGTCATTACGGCATTTGAATAAAGATGCCAAAAGTAAAATCCTGGACCCCTACGTCTTTTTCGGAAAAAGCTTATCTGACCCAAACCAACCAATGAGAACGTTTTCCAACTTCAGATTTTAAAATTTAAATGTAGAGCTGTCCCAAAGCTGGGTTTGACCCTCCCGTAAAGCAGAATTTGAGCAGTAAATTTTTTGGCTTCACGCCACCTATTTCAGATACACGTATCTAGGAGTTCTGCCTAATTGGAAACATTTGTGTAAGAAGATGCATAAGGTGGAAGGTGAGGAGACTGGTCCCTTGAGGGAGCTTTTGGCACACGCGAATCGCCGATACGCGCGGCATGACATAAAGTAACAACGTGCTAATAAGTTTGGCACTTTGGTTTCAGAGTTTATTGTACGTCCAGTCAGGAGGCGTATGTTGTACCACTTAGCTAAGCCCTGAGAAAGTTTCTGTGAACTTCTGGAGGGATTGATGAAGTACCGCGGTTTTAAACAGCACAAAATTCAGGAACTAGCTTAAAAACATCCCTTTCTAAAAGTCCGCAGATGACTTCTTACAAATTTTAATCACAATAGCATCTGATAAATACACACACATTTGCAAGAATTTTCTGAATTTTTTTTTTTACTCTTGGCAGTGTTAATTAAGATCACAGTATCTTATATATGCCATTTTATGGTTATTATTATTTCATGCAAATAATTTGTAGAGTGACTAATTTCAGAAAGTCCTGGGGATTTAGGAACACGGTTACAGGGTTGGTTTTTTTTCCTTTTACAAAGAACGCAAATGCACTTGCGGTTGTAAATGGTACTGGAAGTTAATGGCATTCACATTCCTAAACTGCTTGTATTACTTTTTGAAATGGGATTGATGCTGATAAATGAGTTACGCTCAAGAAAATACGATGTTTAGGCTCCAGATGCCACTTTTTTTTTAATGCTTGCAAAGCTGCAAGCGAAAGCAAACAAGCGTGATTATTTTCTGCTGCATCACGATCAGTGAAATTATTTCTCTCGGGCATATTTTTGCTACATTTTCTCTGTTTGAAAAACATTCAGCTACTTGTATAATTATTGTGATAAATGGCCTTACAATTGCTTATAGCCTTCTGTTCACTTTGTTGAATTTTCTCCCCGTCTTTTGAACTACCATTTAATCATCTTTAAATCCACAACGCCTAGTATGTCTTTCTGCTTCTACAGGATTAATACAGGGTATTCCTTTTTCTCAAACCAATTTATATGTTGTACAGCCTTTAAGCCCTCTGACGATGAACGCTTCAGTGATGGCGAAGCGTATAGTGGCACGGGTGCCGTTAGCAGAAGTTCGTGGAGTAAGACTTACAAATTCTCTGGTTTTGTTTAACTCGGATTGTTTGGTTTATTGTTTGTGTTGAAGCAAGGTGAATTTGTTTAATCTGGGTGCCTAACACTGCTCCTTTTTATTACTTTTGAAGTGTGACTGGGCGTGTGTTTCCTGAAAGGTGGGAGGAGGAAGGGAAGGCAGAAAATCCAAGATTTATTACCTGTATCTTGAATATGTTGGCAGAACTTAACTGTGGCCATCCAGCATGACTAATGCTCTCCGGTGCTTTGAATTAACATTTTTTGCTTTCTGTTACCGTCTGACGCCGACTGTTTGTCAGTAATTATTGTGACAGATAAGCCATCGGTACCCTGGCCCGTTGCTGAGGCTCAGTGCTGAGCACTCGTACCGATAGCGCCCCTGTGATCCTACCGCAGGTCGGGCACAGTTAAAGCTCCTCATGCCATTGGCCCGGTGAAATCTCTTTCTACAGGCAAAACGTTCAGGACGTTGCCGAAATTCCTAACGTGGATGGTGGTTGTCACAGGAACTTCAAAGAGCTGGGGGCAGGAAGGCTGCAAAACTTTTTAAATAAAGAGGATGAACTTTTTAGCGATGGCGTAGTCTTTATAGGAGGCTAGCGAGAAGATTTCTGTAATGCCGTGCTCTTTGCTGCTTTAAAGAGACACAGTATGTTCTGAAATAAATTAACGTGGCACGGTCAACCTGCCAGCTGTAATTATGTAATTATGAAGTTGAACACAAGGAAGAGTACATGAACAAATAAATATTTCAGCTCCCGTTGTGGAGCTCGTTCATCGCTGGTGATAAGGATTTTGCATTTTGCCCGGGAAGCAGTTATATTGCCTAATTGCATGCTGTTACGTTAATAATAATAGTATTCATATTCCAAAAATGATAAGTCTCAGAATTAAGTACCGAAGCAGGTGGGCATTGTCAGTGAAAGAGAAGCACCCATGCCAATAACAGACGAGGTGAAATGGGATTCATAAGCTTTTGTATGCAAGGATCAAGGATGAAGGGGGTCGGGGGAGAAGGAAACTTCATAGGTTAGTAAGAACGCGGTTATAGAAAAATCCTACTTCATCTGCTGGAAGCCTGTTATGTGGTCCTACGTATAGCAGGTACTCTAGGTGATGTGGGTTCTGAAACACACATCCGTGCCAGCAGAAAAGCTTTGTGTGGGTGGAACTGTACTGAAAAACCTCTGCGTTTTTAGCATTGTACCTGGCTTAGCTGTCGATATCGCCACAAAGCTTAGTTCCTTTAAAGCCGTTGCCGCAAAAGAAGGAATTTGCACCTGAGAGATCCTTACAGCAGTAAGGGGCAATTACTGCAAAGCATCTTGTGGAATGTATTTTAGTGGCATCTACACAATCAGTGAAGTTAAGCACAAACTGAGGTTTCTGTTAGGGCTGAGTCAGTGTGGACACACAGGAAAATCTAGAAAAGGCAGGAACTTTTTTTTTTTTTTTTTCCTTCCTTATGTTAATCTTGTATTGAGGAGCATGTTGCTGCTCCTCTGTACTCGATCCATGCTTTATTTTTGTGGCAAAAGAGCTGTGCAAACTGTCGATGGTTTCTCACTGTGACTCCCGTCTGAGATTGCTGAGTAAGCGTAGTGCTGTATCTAGAGGATCCGAGACCAACCAGTAGAACAGGTTGTCGGAGAGCTCTCATTTGTGTCTGTTGGGGCCTCCTCATCTCTGTTTTACTGCTCTATTTTCGGTCCAGTTAATTCTCAAAAGCTCTGGTTTCACTGTCTCTTTGAGACTAAGTTCTGGCTGCTGCAAGAAGTTGTCAGAGCTCTAACCACACTTCCCCACATCCTCCGTTATGTCAGCACAAGCGTTTCCCCATGTGGTGAACCGACCCAGAGAACCGATCTGTCTGAAAATTAATCCCTTTGTTTGTTGTGACAAGTTATTTTTTCAGCCAGACTACTTTTGCAGGCAGAAGGGAATAGAAAGGCTGAAGTAGAAGGTGAGACGCCACTGGCAGAAGCAGCATGCCCCTGAGATGGCTGCCATAAAGGTCAGTTCACACCGTGCAGTAATTAATGCTGACATTTCAATTGCAGAGAAGGGATAGGCAAATGTCGAGCAAACGGTCATGTGCAAATAGTCAACAGAGTCTCAAAAATCAGTTGGAATCACAATATCCAAAGAACAAAAAGCGTCTTTCATGAGGGATGCTTGTCTAAATGTCGCCAAAGAGTCAACCCTATGCCTGCTTGAGACATAAGGTGACGTTGTTGGCTTTTTTTTTTTAACTTTGTGTTTCTTTTTAAAAAAAAAAATCACAAATAACAAAGTCGTCTTAAAAAGAGGGTGATTAGGACATTGAATTTGCTGAAGTGTTTCTAAAAATGGAAACAGCATCGTCACATGTCCTTAAATAATTTATAAAATACAATATGCATTAATGCCTACATACGATAATGACCCAGTGTCGGACTGTTGCATTTTTCCTTTCACAGAGTTGCTCATTTTTCTCCTTTTTATTTTCAAAGCTTACTCGACATTGTGATAGTACATCATTCAAACATATTCGCAGTAATAGTATCTGTGTAAAAGGGAGGGTTGCTACCCCTTCACGAGTGTCCATCAGTGACAGGGTGGCGTATCTGTGAACTCCTGCATTGCTTAAGGACATCAAAAATGTGATCTTAGCTTCCGGAAAGAAGTTCACAGCTCATCCATACCTGATAACATCAGATTTCTGATTAAAAAGAAAAAAAAATCCTTTCTCTTATGGAAAAAAAAAGTTGGTTTCAGTGCAGACAATTTTTTTTCCAGTGTAGAGGAACTATGAACGAAGCGAGCTTTCTAAGCGCTCAGTAAGTCTGGCTCAGACGTACGTTCACAAAGGACTGAGAAGTTACTCCTTTACAGACAGACAGACACTCCAGTAGGCTTCAGGAATTTATTTCTGGCACCATTGATGATTCCTAAATGACTCTGTGCAAGTCACTCTAATTATCTCGGTCTTCCCATCCCTTTCCACTAATGCCAAGGTGCTCTGCCTGGCGAGCTGGGAGCTGGGAAGTAAATGCCGCGTGTATTTGTGTACCTACCTTTGGAACTGCTTGCCGGGAACTAACTGGCCGCCTAGTTATTGTTGTGAATGTTGTTGTTATTAAATGATAATGTGCTCTGGTACCCAAGAATATTCTCTTCTCAAAGTGTATCGCTTCGTATTTGTGGTAACTGCAGCTTGCGTGTCGATAAGCATACTGAATTCCTTGATAGTATCTATCACAGTATTTATAAATCAAATGTGCTAAAATATGACTGAATTTCCCGAGTGCCTCTGCACGTGGCCTTAGAGTACGCCAATACTGCGGCACATGTGTGAGAAATGAGCAGTTAAGTCTGGGCAGACTTCATTGCTGTTGTACATGAACATAATTCCACTGAAGCAGTGGCTTAATCAGTAGGAAGACTCAAGGAATAACTTTCCTTAATTAAACCTGGAAGTTAAAGTTGCAGCCAGTAACTGCTCTTGACTTAAGTAAGTTGCT